ACAGATTTCATTCCATTGATGCTGAGATCGTTAGAGATCAGACCGAGATCCTTTATTAAGCAGACCGCGCTGACCACGGTCTACTTGAAACGTAACGAGAATATGAATGACGAATCGCACGAATTTCAATATTTGGCAAAAATTTACGCAATTTCTAATTGAATCTCAGAGGCAAAAGAGCTAAGGTGAATATTTACTCTTGGCACGAGATGATAAAAAGATACTCGATTATAACGAATCGCGGCTTTAAAGACTCTCTCGTTCTATTATTAAAACTTGCTTCTCCTTTTAGAGAAGAAAATAATGACTCGCGGCTCCATCCTTGACTCGCATTAACCCGACGTAATAAACGAATCGCATTTGGAAAATTATCTTGCATGCGTGGCTCTTGGCTGACCATCGCATTACCACGTAAATCTTTTAATTAGCAACTCGGAATCACGTGTGTTATTAACGCTCCTAACGGCATTAATTCCATTCACCGACAAATTATCTGCGGCTCGAGCCTCTCCTTCCACCACTATGAACGCTAAAAGCGAGATGGTACCTCACAAATCGTCGGCTTTATTCCGAACTCCTGAAACAATGTCGCCGGAATACAAATGTTCTCGTGCCACCGCGAGATCCTGTTAACCGCTAACGCATGTACTTACTTTGATCCCCGCACTTTGCTTTTAATCGCAGCGGATACTCGTCGCAAGATTTCCTACTGTGTGGAAATTTTTCCGAAATTATTCCCTCTCGAGAAGAAGAGCCTCGGAGTAAAAAGCTGCGCCACGACACCTCATTTTGCTAGCAGAAGCGAAACGACCCTATTGATCTTCAAGTACGAAATGAAGTATTGAGATTCGTTCCAAAGAGCCCGAAATACCCAGTAAATCATTATCGATCTGCGAGGACATTGTCTGGAGATATCAGCAGCCGGTGCAGCAGCTGTACCCTGTGTGAAATCGGGCCGATCGGATATATCGCGTCCGTTAACACGAACCTCAGTATGAAGCGGGCTTAATATATGATTTACGTTTGCACTAAACCTCAAGCTCATAGATCCTAGATGCACGATGCCCATTTGGAATGCCGTCCGACTACAGGCGACGTAAGACGTAAAGTGATTGTTAACGATCGTTGTGAAAACTGTTTCTGAAAAAGTTGCGTAAATACTTTCGGCGTAAATTCTGATCATCGTGCGGCAAAAGAAACGAGAGCTGCCTTGGCAGAGAAAGGAAAGGAATCGAAACATTCCACATCTTTTCACTCTCAAGACTATAGACTTTAGATAAATCGCGGAAGTAGAAAAGGACGAGAGATCAAACGAACGGATCCGTTCGGAAGAGCTAAGAGGCGAAAAGGCATTTAGGAAAGAGGATCAAACGGTCGATCTCGCGATAATTGCTCCATTATAGTTACATAAGCAAACTCGTTTCGCGACAGCTCAAGCTTAAAACAGGTTCTCTTATGACTCACGTGGAAGAAAAAAGAATAGAAAGGGGGAAGACCGGGCGATTTTCGTTCCAAAACGATCGATCCTTGACGTTCCTTTCGCCTCTGTTCCTTCGCGTTTCTTTCGCGTTTTTTGCTCACTTTTCCCCCATTTGCCTTTCTCTTTCGCTACGATTGCGAAACGAGAAAGGATGGAAGTCGTCCGACACTCTACCTCGAAATTTACCAGCGAACGATTGCGTATCCGAGCAGGAAAAGAAAAGAAAGAAAAAAAAAAAAGAACGCCAACGCGATGATTTCGAACGTGGCCCAGCTGTGCAAACGTCTTCGTTAACGAAGGAACTTTTGCTAATTCGAGAATTCCAAGGAACGTTTTATGAAACTGTTGACGGGCGCTGAGGTCGCGAGAGAGTCCAGATTTATTTATGTATCATCAAGATCGTCCGCGCGAGTAACGGGGGCGAAACGAATCTCACGCGTAAGGCATTACGTGTACATGGTAGAATACCGTTGCAACGCCGTGTGCAACTTGGTCGAGTTTGTTACGTGCGGTCGGTTTATGCACCGATGATTACCCGTCTGTCCAGCAGGCGGGTAATTTTTCAGATGGTAGATAAAAGGGTGCTGTTACCGTGGTGAAACGCCGTAGTAACACTGAAATTATCGCGACGATAAGGACCAACGGTAACAACGCCCGGCAGTTCTGCGCTGGCGTCGCGTAACGCTTCGAACGATCGGTACGATTTATCGGACCGGCAATTTCTGCCCACCTATCGTAATTGTTGCTCCGTTGAGCAACGGAAAGCCGATGCTCGAGAGCTTTCCCGCATCTCACCGTCGGATTACACCGCAATATTTGTCGATGCGAAAAAGAGATACCCACGTACTCGTATATTCGCGCGTGCGCACGTAAGAATACCGGCTACGAAATAAGGAAACTTGTAAAAAGAAGATACGGTAGAGAGAAGACTTGATGAAATTTTCGAGAATTCCGCCCCTTGATTTACGACTGCGCGCCATGTAAGACTCCGGGTGAAACGCGGAACTCGCTTGAAAAAAAAACTACGATGTAGTCGAATTGAACTCGAGACCGAGATTGAATAGATCGAACAACTGTGATTCAAAGATACGGTTTATGACATCGAAAATCGATAAATCCTTGCTGTCACATAAAATCATCATTACGTGGTAATTAAGTCTCAGTATTTTGCGTTATCGTTATCCATCAAGACTTCAAGTAAGAATCTGCTTCCTAAAGGCATTTCGAAAAAAAAAAAAAGACAACGTTAAGTAAGACGAGTATGAAAAGGAACCGCGAAATTGCTTTAACGTTCTGTGTTGTTAACATTCGTAACGAACAAAGCACGACAATTATCGTGGTGGTATTCGGTCGTAGTATATTTTCAAACGTAAGTTGAAAAATCGTCTACGAGATAAGGTCTAATCTTGTTTCGCGAGAGTCGCATTAAAATGGCTCTTGTAACGAAACGTCATTGCGAGATCAAAAGGATTTCGAGTTTTATGGGATTAGACGAAACGGAGCATGAGACGGCGCGTACTTGGACGCGAAACACATCTCGGCCAGGAATCTTGTACAGCTTTTGCCGAAGTGAGATTACAGCATTCGCTTCTCCGTTTATTTGTACCGTACGCGGCGGCGAGGAAAATTGTCGGCTGGTTGCACAAGCTCCGATCGAATCGACGACAGAAAGAGAGACTTTACGATTTCTCTCCGTTCGAAACGATCGCAATTAGGCGTGAAACATCGACGATCAACCTTCCTCCGTTAACTCGAAAAAAAATTCCTATTGAACTGTTACGCACGCAGGCAAATCCGCCTGGTGGAGAGGCGGAAAAAGAAATAACGAAATCCGATGTTAATGCCGAATCCGAGCGACCCGATTTGTAGAAACGTTTGCACGACGGATCGATCCATATAAATGGGGGACTTTCACCTTGCGATACGTTCGACACGGACAACGAAAAATGACAAAACAACAACGATGTTTTTGCGCCGATGGCGACCATTTCGGTGTGTGTTTGCATGTTTTGGGAAATTGTTTCCACGAATATTGACCTACGTGCGAAAAAGAAGCTGGAAGAGAAAGGGCAGAATGAGAAAGACACGCGGCGTGAATATTTATATAGATTGCTCGGCAAACGCTAGAAATGAAAATACTCGTCAACATCGTTAAGACTCTGTCTATAGAACAACACGTAGAGACACGGACGCAGAAGAAAAATTGTCTGACCTTTACCTTGCTTCCGTTGCGCGCAGCCCGCGACTTGGCCCCTCGTTCACGTCGGACCACAATTTCTCTGTTCAGATAACACAGCGGCGTTTAGTTATCCATGAATCGAGAAATCGGTGCTTCACGCGTAAGACGCAAAAGAGAGAGAGAGAGAGAGGGCGCGAACTCTAACGAACCGTGAAAGCAAATCGCGCTGTTTAAAGCACTGGATGTTCGTAGCGGCGGCGACGTCGCTAAAATGACGAGACATCGCGACGCCCGCTACGCGATTGCGTGTTTCGTCTGCAGCAAAAACGTTTCTCGAACTTTTCCTTTATCTGGTCTGAAAATATGATGCCTCAGACGTAGGTGAGAAATAAGAGCAGCGTTGGTCGGACGGGAATACGCAGACGCCGAAAGGAACTCGATCTCTCGACACGACGAAACGTTTCCCACGCGATTTTTCTCTATCGCGTTCGATTAAATCGACGTTGACATTGTTGCATATTTTGTTCTCTTTTAGAGAGTTAATGAGAATCGTAATATGTTCCTGATTAATAAAACAGTCTTCACGTACCTGGCATCAATTAGTAGTTGACGATTCTACAATAACCAGCGAAGCGTAAAACAACGTTCGTTCCCTGCAACGTAATACATTTGATTAGTTTCGTTAATGAATGATCTATCTGTACGTGACTTAAATTTGAAAAATTTTGCTCAGATTCAATGTAAACAATATAAAGCGGACGATATAAAATATCTGTTGAAATGTCTGTTTCAGAGAATCGTAATAATGCACGGCAAATTAATTGTGAGATCGCAGTGTCGCTTTTCCAAAATTGACAGCGAACGCTCGTCGTAGGACAAGTCAAGAATTAATTAAATGCTCAACGAGCTAAATGCTCGTTGTCATGAAGTGTATGGGAAATCGAACGGAAATAGAGCGGAATTCGAATAAAATTTCAATCATTCTGTGCCATGAAGCGACGATACCTAACGAATACAAACGACCCAGAGGAAGGTAAGAATTATAATTTAATTTATAATGTGCATACCATCTCGATTTTCCACGGAAACGCGCATTAATATGAAAATAACAAACGAATATTGCTCGATGCTCCTCCGGCAATAACGCACGCAGGGAAATAATATTTAAAAGTCCTTATCGAAGTGGAACAACGTGTTTTCCGATTTAGTTGATTCAACTTATTGAAGAGCAAACAAGCACAGTTCGACGACGTTCAAGATACACTTTTGACAATCTACTCGATGCTCGAGAGATTCGAAACTAATCGTCGCAACTAACCAGTGTGACAAGTACAAACAACGTTTAATAATTTAATATTTATTTTCCATAAAAAAATATAATCGTTATATACAAATATACGAGTGTGGATGAAAATCTGCAACGATGAGGTTCATCCTTATCTCTAATGATGTAAACCGAAGGACAATTCGTGTCCTCCAAAGCTGTGTCCTCCAAAACCGTGTCCTCCAAATCCACCTCCAAAGCCGCCGCCGCCGCCGCCGCCTCCGCCGTGACCACTGCTAACCAGAACGGGGTACGATTCCTTAACGACGACGGGAACCTTGACTGGATAAGGAATCTCCTTTTCGACCGGGAATGGAACCTTTACGGGCACGCTAAACGGGACAGGTACCTTGACAGGCACTTTGACGGGCACGTGGTACGGCGCTGGGACCGGTTTCTCCACTGGCACTGGTACTGGTTTTTCTACTGGGACTGGATAAGGTTTCGGTATGTGCACCGGGACTGGCCGCTCCACCGGAATCTTAACCGGAACCGGGTACGGTACAGGTACGCTTTTCTCCACTGTATACGGTTGCGGTACGCGAACCTGATTCTCTCGGTGGATCGTGATACCAGTTATACGACCTCCGTCACCACCGCCTCCTCCGCCTCCTCCGCCGAGGCCTCCACCAAATCCTCCTCCAAGGCCTCCGCCAAAGCTCAAACCTCCGTGCCCTCCCAGGTCTCCACCGAGACTTAAACCTTCGTGTCCGAAACTGTCTAGGCCACCGCCACCACCTCCGAGACTCAGCTCCAGTCCTCGTTTGCTCTTTTCTTTTGTCGTCTCGGCGGCCGGTTTTGTCGTCTCGGCGCTCGATTTCTTAGCGTCGCCGGCTAGAGCTGTCGCCACCAGGGCGAGTAATACAAGCTTCTGAAGAAACGTAGAAACGTAGTTACTGTACAAACGGCTGTGTTTCAAGACGGAATGGTGTATCGTGTGAGGTATCTGTGCGTTTCCCTGCGTCGAATGTGATTCGCGTTGTGCAAGGAGAAGATAACGTCATTACGGGAGAAAGTGCGAAGTGAAAGCAATATTACACGACAGGCTCTAGCGATAAAACGTAAGCTATCGATAAACGTAACAACCGGTATTATCATAGTACCGGTACTATCAGCAAAGACTCTTCTGACTGACTGGCTGCTGACTTTAACATCCTACTCGCGAGTAAGTCAAGAAGCAGAGTCGAAGAGACGCGCAGTAAAAAAAAAAAAAAGAAGAAAGAAAGAACAATGGAAAAATAAAAGCTTCTTTCGACACACAGTCCTGTCTGTTTGGAAACCGTTGCCAGACGATGCAACCGTTCATCGTCAAATGCAAACTTTCTCCGTTTCTCACCCTTACATAATCCCTGTAATATCTGTTCCGTAAACGACTATGATATGTATCGATCTATGATATGTATCGTGTATGAATAGTAGTGGGGAACCGCGCGAGCTCACCTGCGGAGTGCTCATGGTGTCGTTCGAAGGTGCACACTGAAGCTACATCGCGCCAATCACTGGCATATATACCGGCACTTTCGCCGTGGCAACTGGCCCACTCCCCGGAAAATCCTACTCGTCCGCCGACATTAAAGTGGACCGATTGTGCTACCACGCCGTGCACAGGCAAAGGCGTTCGTTCGGCGTTAAGCCGTTTTCCCACGGGCTACCGACCAGCCGGTTGATTACTACCGGATCCCCAGATCCGCCGCATGCGTAACATAGCCCCCTGCACGTTCGAACTGTTTCGAGTCGCTCTCTTGCCCGTTCACTCGCCGAGGAGGAACAGGCAATTTAGCGTGCAATGATCGCGGCGACCACTCGAAACGTCTTCGGCGTTTCTTTTTCTTTCACCTTCGGAAGAAGCCGATCGCGCGATCGTTATTCGCCTCTCGTGCCTCGTAAAAATCATTCCGGACGTAATTCCGACCGAATCTCCCTGACCTCTTACGCAATCCCATTCCCCGTTCTCGACGCACGGCGATACGTTATATCGGATCTCTCCGACCGAAACGGAAGAACTAAGTATGATCGACGATCTTCTCGAAAGGGCATTCCTCTCGCTTTTTTTTCCCCCTTTCTCGGTCTTCGCATTGTCCGCATTTTGGCCAGGTGTTCGATACCGCCCGACACAAAAAAGCGGTTACGTCACGCGATCACCATTTCTTGCGGCCCGATAAAGCGAATTTAATCGCAATAAATTGCTTTTTTTATTGCGCCGAACGATTAATCGACAGACGTGATTAAACGTTTAACGAGATTTCCTAAACTTACAAAAGCATCCGCTTGGGCCACTTTTGTACAATGAATAAGAACGTCTATGTAATCGAAAACGGTGATAAATGGAACGTAACGTCACAGAACTTGGAACGCGATTATAATCGACGTGTAAACGTAAAGAAGATATAATTAAATTGGTTTAATATCGTCCGATAATTAGTTACACGTCTTTCATCGGGGCATCTCAACGCGTAAAAAATGATTCTCGCGATGAAGAAATGTTTTTTGGTAACATGCGCGTAACACCAGTGAAAATCGTCAGGTTGTTATCCTTCAGAAGGGAACTAACGTGCTGTTGCGCACGCTTCGAGACATCGAGCTGAACGGTAATTAATCACGGCACGCCGCTGGTTTTTCGTCGATTTTCATCGACGAGGCAAACGAATAAAGAAAACAGAAAAATTGCAAACGCACACGGCGACGAAACTCACAAAGTACCCGTCTCGAAACTTTCTCCTCTTGTCTCGGACACGCGCGCGTTATGTACTTAATTGACTGATTCCCGGCATCATGCTCGAAGCCTGGTTAATTAAAAAAGATAGATACACGGTACGCGAAGGAAGTTGTTAGGCGTCACGGTTAGCAACACCGTTGTCACCATCGTCAGCTCCGATCTTTCGCGTTCAGCTTTTCTAATGCCGCTCGTTGTCCTTTATCCGTTACTTCCGTTTGATTCAAGAGACAAGAAGCAAAAATGAGTCAGTGTGTCGGATGCATTTCACTTCGAGCAACAGGTAATTCAATTTTACAAAAAAAAAAAGAAAAAGAAAGAATCATTAGACTGCAATTTTGCGTTTCGTTACGTGCGATACGGTGACAATCCTTTCCTATCGCGCACATATCTCAGCAATCGACGAGCGTATTAGCGAACCGATCGATAGACCGGATGAAAAGAGGGGAAAAAAAAACGTCTTCCGTCGATGCTGGCATCCCTGGCAGCGGCAATTAATAACGAAGCTACCGAGAGCACGCTGGTATTTCGCTCGGCTGACAGAAACTTTTTACGAGGTCCAGTTTTATAATCATTTTATAGATACTTTGACATTATACGGGGAGTCTCACTTCTGACACGCCAGCCAATATTTTAATCCGGTTTGCGAAATTAATGCGAGACGATTTAACCAGGAACTATTTTCGTTACAAGCATAGAGAAAAACTCTGCGCTCCGAGATGAAGCTTTAACGTTAACTCTTATATTGGCAGAAAGCAGAAATGTATCCGTCTCTCTCGAGATATTTATCGTCACTCCTTTCCTAGCGGAAGAGAGCGAGAAATCATCGAGTTAAATTCGATACCGTCTCTACCGCAAATTTACCATCTTGAAGACTAAAGGTCTCGAAATCTTGTTCGTTAATGTTCACGGAAACTATGTTGATAAGCCCGTTGGAATAAAGACTGAAGACAAATTGAATAAAGAAAGGAGGCAAGGCGGTGAAAGGTGAAAGGGAAACTGGCAGGGAAGAGACGACGGAAGAAACAGCTTTTAGCATCTCTTTAGCGAAGGCACAGCTCTAGAGCGCGAATTATGTTTGCCTCGGGTGGAGGAGGCGAGGTCACGAAAAGGACGAAAAAGGGAAAGGGCGTAACTAGAAAACGGCTTGATAAACACCTTGAGCGAGAACATCCATCCATATATTCATGAGAGCGGTCTGGCCGACTCGACTCGAAAGCCTTTCCGATTATTGCATAAGGTTACGTTTGCGGGGCCGGTGAAGCAGAAATGCAGACTTCGCGAAAATTCCGCTCCTACCGTCTGCCTCTGCACGCTCGTCGACCACAGGGATTTACTTCGTACTCTTTAGGCTGCATTTCCGTAACCGTCGTGCACGAATACAAAGTTCGATTCCTTCGAATGTGGTTCCAAAATCACGTCCGACAGTGACGAGACTCAAGGTTGGATGGAATCGCGGTACGATTAAACTGAAACGAGACGGAACACGGTTCACTATAACGAACTGTAACGTTGAGATATCCTCGCTTCCGCAAGAAAAAGGACCAAAGGCGCCGATAAAAGCACTCGAGGCGTATCAATAACCGGAAGTACGCGGACGTTTATGTAATTTCTGCATGGCAAATAGCCGCGAATTACTAGAAAGCAAGAACTCTCGACAGAGAAAAATCATACGCAAGTATAATAGGAACCCACATGTAATAGGATCTCGAGTATTTTACTTAATGCAAAGTTCCGTGTACGTAATAAAGTTGCGCGGAATAAAGGGAAAAAATCTTGATCGAGCAGGCTTAATTAAATTTCGCAACGATTTCTTAACGTTGCGCGTACATACGTATTATTTTTACGAACATTCGCGAGAAGGTAAATCAAACTGATCGATCGATAATTCATCTACAACGATTGCACAAACAATATTGATTTAGTAAGAAGAAACTTGGGAGAAACTACATAATTGCGTATTCCTCGGCGTAAAACGAACGTATGTATGCACGCTGGTTAAAAGCGAAGAAGCGGAGGCATATCGTAGATGATATTTCACGGATCCTGGCACCTTTCACGCGTTTTAATTATTAGGGGATAAATGCGGCGTAACGGCAGCGGGAAAAGTAATTACACACCGGCGTGGAAATGACAATTGATGGCAGGAAAACTGGCCAGTTCGTGACCCAGTGTCATTAGCTACGAAATCACCGAACGAAACTGCAACATCGAACAAACGGATCTGCATCGCGTTCGTTTGCGCAATTACCAGATCAGCGACGTTTCGTCCAATTAAAGTACGTCGTTTACGTCACTCGGCGCTCGTCTTTGTATTTCTCCTCGCCGCGATCAATTCGTCGCGATATCGAAATACGACGATGCACCGTAAATTTCGTGCAAACTTCATATCCACCGATCGTGCTTTCACGTTCGCGACGACGTAGGCACGCCATCGAACTCCTATCGACGAACTTCGTTCTCGTATGGAAATCACTTTCTAGTCTGAGGAGATTGCGACCGCGGCAAATCACTATAAATTCATCGAAAACAATTTAATCCGGGTTGAAGGTGAGACAGAAAATATCAACAAACATCTTCCTCTCGCTTTTCGTTCGGGGCCGATCGAACGAACCCAATCGAAACCCGACGGTACGACGGCCCGTCGAAACGCATCATGCCAACCCCGGCATAGGAGTCAAATCAATATTTTCAGATTCAAATATGGAGATTCAAATTCAGATATATGGAAATTTATTCCCGCCGATAAGCCTGATAAACCATGGATACGCGGGGATATTCTAATGCTCTCCAACGGGCGAGATCGAGGTACAAAGTCATTCCGAAATTAACTGCGCCCGTGGGAGCTCCGGGTGATAACCAAAAATCGTTGCAGCCGGCAAGCTCCGGAGCATACCGCGAACGAACCACGAATAACGATAGTTCCGTTCGATCGTGCCGTTCGATATATCGGACAGATCCGTTGCGACGACGATTCGTTTCCCTTCAAGAATACAGATCGGTTTTATTATTACGATCTTTTGTTCGAGATCAACGACCGTCCGTCCGCTGCTTCGTTCTCAAATAGTTAGCATTACCTCGTACCGAGGAAATCATTAAAATACACTAACTGAATTTAATACGAGAACCTGGCCAAGAAGAAACGTTTCATTTCGAACCCAAAAAGTTCCAAGCGGAATGTAGGTTAAACTTGCACACGCTCGTTCAGGCAGAGAGTTTCCGTAGTAAGAGAAGTTCCTTCGTTTTCGGAAGGGACGGGGGGAAAAAGGTGCGAAGATACGAGGGGATGTAACTCGAGCGGCTCCAAGAAGTCCTAATAATTCGCTTCTCGCTTTAATTAAGCTCTTAATATTAATGAAATGTGAGTATAGAGATGTAGGAGCGTATTGTGAGAAGTAATCGGATTAAAAAGAGACACCGGAGTTGAATCCGTATTAGTTGGCCCGGTTCTCTCTGGCGGTTCATCCTGTAATTGAAAACTCGCCGGCTCGGGCACGAGTAACGAGAAAGTTCGAAGTTCTACAAGCCGATCGTTCTACAATTCTGACGAATGTAATCGGAATCGGAATTCGATCGATTACAACATGTTCGATTCTTTTTATCATCTCTCCGAAGATTCGACGAGCCTCCGATTGTTTTAGGGTAGAATTTCTAGAAAAGGCTCGCCGTGGTAATGGCACCGAGCCGAAATTAAGAATCGAACGAGACGAAAATGTCTCAAAGAATTCCCCGAATTGTTGAGCGTTGAAGAAGCTTTGAAAGCTCGAGCAGCACTGAAGAAGAAATTGAACGAAACGCGAAACGACTTGCTAAACGGTGGCCGACAAAAGCCAATGGAGGAAAGCGTCGCGTCGTCCATGCCGTCGTTCTCTTCCTTTCCTTCTCTTAGCTTCCTACTCCGCAACAATTTCATCGGCACGCTCGAGTTGCCCGCCGGACTGGCGGTTGCGTCCCCTATAAAAGCGAGGGTAGACCATCGACGAACCAGTGTGCTCACTGTCGACCAACATGAACAGCACAGAGAAGCTGAAAGTGAGTAGCTCCAGTAAGACAGCCACTTGAATTCCCGTCTCTCGAGCCACGCAAACGGAACTGACGTAACCGGTGAAAATTCGAGCGTGTTGCCGTTCTTGATGCAATCGATCGAGTCATTCGGGACGTACTTAACACGAATCGATTGACTTTTTCCCTGAGAGGCTTAAACAGTACTTGTCGTACGAGTGGATGTCATATCGTAAATTTATTGCTCGTACTAACGTTTATCTCTAACTCTATTGTAAATCCTTCTCGAGGAACGAACAGAAAATCTGAGAAAGCCCACTCAAACGATGTTACAAATTATATAATTGATCATTTATTCTCTTCAGATCTTAGTTTTCTGCGGCTTGGTACTGTCGGCCGTGGCCGAGGAAGCCAAAAAGATCACGCAGGAGTCGAGCGCACAGCCGAAGAAAGAAGAGAAGACGAAGCGTGGCTTGGAGCTTAGCTTGGGCGATCATGGCTTCGGAGGAGGTTTCGGCGGTGGTTTCGGAGGCGGCTTCGAACTTAGTTCCGGCGGCAGCGAACACATATCCACGGATCACATCAAGGCAGTCACGGTCACAAAGACTGTCCATATTCCCGAGCCTTATCCAGTCGAGGTGACAAAACACGTCCCTGTTCCCGTCAGTGTACCAGTCAAAGTACCGGTCGACAAGCCATTTCCTGTCCACGTGCCTCAACCCTACCCAGTCACAGTCGAAAAGCCTGTGCCCTATCCGGTCGAGAAGCCAATACCTTATCCGGTAAAGGTGCCCGTCAAGGTGCCGGTAAAGGTGCCTGTGCCGGTCAAGGTACCTGTCAAGGTACCGGTCACTGTACCAAAACCAGTGCCCTACCCTGTCAAGGTGCCGGTGGTCGTGAAGGAGCCTGTCTTTGTGAAGGAACACGAACACGGAGGTGGATTCGGCGGAGGATTCGGTGGTGGATTGTCACTGGGAGGTGGACACGATTTCGGCGGTTACGGGCACTTCTGAAGCAAAGGCTCGAACTCCGTAGAGTGTCGAAGTCTTTGATCTTCAACGTGCGTCTTGTCCATCAATTGCCGCATGACAATGTAACTGCCAATTTCGCGAACTCGGCCTTCCGAGCTCGCGAGACGCTTGCTGGTCGAAACGCGACCGTCGATCGACGAACAAGCGTGCCGTTCGTAGTAGACGTCAGTCGAATGTACCAATATTGTATTCACCGTGATGCTGAACCTCAAATTGTATTGTATAATATGTTTTTTATGAACGAATAAAATGATATTTTTTTATACATAACACAGGCGATTACGTAACCTTCGGAAACTGGACGGTAGGATTGCTCACGAAGGAAAAGAATCGCGTTAACGGTCACGCGATTGGGAAGAATCGCGACGGGACTTTCACCGATGAATGTTACGTTACGAGGAACACTTGTTCTACCGTAAGCGACATGTCGGTAAGAAAAAGATCCGCATGGTTTATATTGCCGCCGACAGAACCGCGCGAATTGATAGCCGAGGAAACGAAAACGAAATGAACGTCAAAACATGTAAAAACCGCTGCGTTTGACGACGTTTGCGTTCGCCGTTCTCTTTGAGCAATCTCTCCCTTTCCTTTCCCCTTTATTCCACGGAAATCTTGCTTAACAATGATATACGATAAGCTACTGCTTGACTTCATAAATTTTCTACGAAACTTTCCAAAAACTTAATAATATTTGCATTGGGAGGGCGGCTTTCGCCATCATCCGAACAAATTAAAATCATAATTCTTGTTAACAACCAATCGGGTAACCCTTTCTTCACCTAGCCTAATTTCATTTCCGTGTGCAACGTTCGCTCTACCTCTGTACACGGCCGCTAATCTGATAGCAACTAGAAAATGAAAGTGACCCCGGTTGTCCGAACGAACGGATTTTAAAATCTGGAAAAAGCGGCGGACGTCAAGAGCGCAACTCCGGAGTATGTTACGTGTACGCGCGGCACGAAATTGCAAAAGCGTATCGCGTATGTCGCGACCTGCGGTTTGCTTGGTTCAGCGAATTCGTTGCCGCCGAACCGAGGATACATGCTTACGACAAATTCATTCCATTGGCGAGTGTCCTCTGCGAATATCCGTTCTATCGGGCTTGCCCAACGATCAAGGGAAACTGCATCGATGCGGCGCAATCGCGTCGTTTCACGCGGTCATCTATCGATCGCTAAATTATATCGGAGTAGCCTGTTTTATATCGCGAACCGAAGAAATTATCACCGATTTGGCGTGTGAAGCAAACAAGCGGCTGTGAATTGGATAATTTCGTCTAATCGATGGCATGAATAGCAGCGAACGAAATATCGGATTAAATGTTGCAACAGAATCTGAATTAAACGGTATCTGACTCGTTTAATTGCACGAACACATTTCGACAGTGAAATTGAATTTCCGATGAAACGATAAAAGCGAAAAAGAAAATGCCATTGCGGATGATGTGTGTGTGTGTGTGTGTGTATATATTCCCAAAATAGGCAGTTTATAAAGCGCGATGAAACGAGACTTCGTTACTGCATAATATTTACCGGGTCTTTAAGATACAATAGCCATTAGTTAAGTTTATCTCCTAGTTGCCAGGCGAGTTTTAAAAGCGTGCTTACCGATGCTTTCGTACGTAATAAGGCACGCAGACTGTTGGTTAGCAAATCCCGTTATTTAACGTGCTGCAAGCGAGGTAATCATATTTAATGATCTAGGAAGTTCACGTAAGAGGGAAAAAGAGAGAGAGAGAGAGAGGGAGAGAGATTTCTTCGATCAATTGACAAGTGTATATGGATGTGTAAAGAGGGACGATGCAGATATGACGTTCCTTCCACCAATACACTGATCCACTAGCATGTCGATTGCATACCGCGGGTTACGTTTCCGTCAATTGTGACGTAAACGTTTCTTTGCTCGAGCGAATTATCTCTCACGATCTGTCAGTCTCAGTTATTTCGCTTTTAAATCGTAGTAAAAATTGTAACATGTGATAGAATGTTACTATGTTTTACAGAGTTATCGTTAACAATAATTATATACAATACTTCCAATATATTTTATACAATCTCTTAATCATTCGTACTTTTTATGATCGTGAAATTAAATATTTTAAACAACACTTAATTCGAAAGTATATCTCAAACGAGGTGGAGAACAGATCGATGAACTCTCGAACTTCCCGTTGCATTACTCTGAACGATAAATATAAATCCGTCAAAAGTTCGTTGCTCCATCGTTTACCACGTTTCGAATTTCACATCGAGTCTCTTTCTCTCCCTCTAATGGCTATGTTAGAAAACTTCCAATTATTTACATTCGCACGGCAAGAAATTTCTATGCTTCCTCGTTCTCCAGAAATTGGCGCGAAATCGTCGAACACCAGGCGTTACCGAAGAATCAAAACGTGCTGCAGCTCGACGTAGACGTGTCTACCGATGTTACACAACACGATCTAGAACGACGTGTCTTATTTTTCCCCTGTTCTTTCCTTTTCATTTTACAATGTAAGAATCGTGACTTGGCGCTGGCATCAATCTTTATTGTGTCTCTTCTGTCTGGGAGACACGGAAGGAACAAATAAGGAGGTCCATTCACGTTCGCGTCACTTTTTATTCCGATATACCTATGTATACGTGGAAATCTGCGGATTGCATCAGGAGCTTCATACCGTACGCACCGATTGCAACGTAACGTTTATCGTACGATCTCCGCGTGTTATTATTTCCGCCATTTGCATGATTTTACGAGCTTCGTGCGCTTCTTTTTACACCTGATCCGATTTAAAGTTTAATTTACATTAGACAAACCAGGTAAAGAAATTTTTATGCATACAGTGCAAGAACAGTTAACGATGAAGACGTTTTGCATTTATGAAGTACACGTTAACTTAACTGACTTCTTTTTCTGCATCACTTTCCAATAACGAACCTTCCCTTTTTCTAAAATTTGTTTCAATTTAATATTCATTTAGCCACGATCCGAAAATTTAAAAAAAATTTAAATGTCAGCGAACGAACAAAAATGCCACGCGAATTCGAAAAAAATTCGAAAGTGAATATATAATTGAAAAAAAAAGAAAATATATAGACGTCAAAAAATAGCAAAGCCATGTGTATTTTTTGGCCTCAGCTAGAAAAACTCCAAGACTATTATTATTGTTTTTGTTGCCAAACGATCGTATCGTTGCACGATATAATAATAAACCACGAACAAATTGCTACCACGTATGAAGAAATATTTGGACCTTTTATTTCGTACTCTGACTTTTCTTTTTTCGCGAATGACGAAATATCTCTTATTCGCCGCACAACGCATGCATTTCTGATACTCCCCTTCACTTTCTATGTACAAAACCTACTATACTGTGTCAATAAAATCGAGCAAATGGAATATGCATATCTCTATAGGAAAATGGAAATTTATAATACATCCGTATCGTCGGAAGTATAATACTCTTGAGAAAGATTTCGTTTCAAGTGAGTGAAACAATTGTGAGACGGAAATCTCCGAATTTTCTAAAAAAAAAAAAAAAAAAAACCGATGCAGATAGATAAAAGCTATTGCCCGTTCTTCTTAAATTTGAAAAATTTCTAGCACTCCAAGATGATATACAACGCGAAGGGAGTATGGAATCCTTCGCTCTGTACGATCCGTCACGTTCGTCGATAGACTAGCTTGTTTGCTTGAGAAATGATTGTCAACATTACGCTAATATTGGTTCTGTCAACACGTACACGCCTCGAGTTTGAGTTTTATTCGTTCGCACCCTCTTCCTCCTATGGCATCGCGAAAAAGAAAGAAACGTAAATTAATCGAGGTAAAATAGAGTGAAAGATTCACAAGGTTGAAATATCGCGAAATTGACAGCCTTGGGGGATATATTTAACCAGTTACATCAACGAAGAACTTTTCCTCCAATTTACAGCACAATTCTAACGAGGAACGGAGTCGTAAGTAAAATAAGACCGTAACTTCATCGCAATTACTAGACCGTAATTTCACAGGGGTGCGACAAATTACTTCCACCACCTACGCCATGTTTCTCCTTGATAAAACTTTATCGAATTCCCGAGGGAAAAGGGGAGCCACGTGGAAAATAACATAGAATCGTCACGCCGGTTTTGATCGACATCATTGAAAATGAAAGTGAGAAGGGTCTATGTCTGTTACGATTATTGAACAATTTTTCTCCTACTTTCCGCCATTTGCGTACGCTATCTTGGAGTCTTCTAATTAACGTCAAATTATCTTTAATCACTGCGTTTAATTGTTACATCAACTGTCTCGGCGATATTCTACTGCATTTAACTCTCTCATTGTTATAATGCTAGAGCGAGTCAAGGAGTATAAACGGAGACACGTAAATAGCATTCCGCTGTGAAGACAAACGCGTGTAATTATATAACCTTGTTATTGCCACATTATGCGTACCCGATCTGAGAAATCTCTGTGAAGAGCTGTAGCAGCGACAGAATCTGAATTGATCGCCGTATTAACCAGAGCGCGTCATACCGCAGAATTGTAAACGTAACTTTCATCGAAAGTGGACTACACAGAAATTGTCCCTGTGTTGCGCAATGCGGCGCAGGATCATACTCATTTAAATTCCACTGGAACCTTTGTCAACAATCTGTCTCGCATGATGCAGAGTACCATTGGCTTTTCTACTCTATCGTCTCTCCCTTCTGTATCTCTTATTTGCATCGTCGTGGAGAAACTTTCCAAGTTCTACGGCACCACCCACCGGAACCACCCACCGCGATCGAAAGTTCGTTGTGCCAAGAACGTTCTTCGCGGTTCTGAAAAATCTTTCCGGCCGGTGTGTGTGTGTGTGTGTGTGAACAGTGTAGTAATACTTCCGCCACAGCGTTCGTATACGCGGCTACAAAGTCAATGAGATTACGCGGGCACCAATCCATGCATTTCCTAGGTCGTACGAGACCGCTTATGCGTTACAAGTGCACAACTGTTGACCGAACGTTCGATTTTTACTTCTGCGCCGTTCGCATTTCCTTCGAATCGTAATAGATATGTTTCCTATCTTTTTCTTTCCTTCCTTTCTTAAAAAGATAGCCGATTTCATAAAAATAAACGAATGGCTTTCGATGAAAGTAGAATCACGTTTTGCGTGTTGAACAGACGATTCCGCAAAATTAAAAAAAACAGTTCATAAATTTATATTCTAAGTGTTTTTATCTAGTCTGCAAATAAAGGAAATTATAAAAAACCAGGAACTCTTCCGCATACAAACGAACGGTAAAAAAAAGTCGAGAATGAAAGTAGAGAAGCCAGTGATTAGAATGTAGAATACTTTAGAAGGTAAATTAATAACAAAATATATAAATACATATGTAGTATATTATCTTCAAGTAATATATGATTGTCTTACAAAAAAAGACAGATTAGATATAAATCATATGATTTTAAATCTCTATGTTGTAATTTATGAAACTAAATCATAAATTATAGGAATACTATAATACTAAATATGTACGGATTTAGAAAAAACATTGTGTTAAATGGCGCCAATGCTATTTAATTTCTATTACATAATTTGATAGGATATATACTTCATTATATCTTCAGTTTCATTTTAAGATCACTATTTACAAAGCAACATAGTAAATGAAAAATACCTGATATAACAGAAAATATCATATGTAAAAATTGTTTTCAACATTGTCGCTATCAATCAATTACTTAGTTTTAGCATAATCGAAACATCACATTATTATATAATTCAGTTTATAACCGAACTTTGTTAAAGAATGCAATTTTTCATCCCTACAATGGAATTCCGTTCACAGGTACTTATTACATTGTATAAATACTTTCGTAAAAACTAACCCATATATCTCTCTATAATTCTGTTTAATCTAGTTCTACATAAGTTTAACAACAAATGAAAATCATAATCAATTTTCTTTTACTGTATCATTATTTCTTTATGTTCTATAATTACAGAAAAAAAGTATAACTTATTTGAACTCGAAAGGATTGAAATGTTGTATAAAAATTATTTTATGTCGGACTGTTGGAAGACAGTACTCGTGAAATATATTTATCATTGCTTAAGTATAAATATAATTAATATGACTCTATTACATAAAAGTTAACCGGAATTCATAATGTTACTCGCGTTAACTACATTCTCTTTTTTCGTAGCAGATGTATCATTAATATTTGCGTTGTCATTTAAAGTAGATTCTTTGTCGATCATTTGGCTTTTAGAATATACAGAATTAAATATATTAGGTGTATGATTGTTTTCAATTAACTTATTCGCATCTACATGTGTATTGGCAGATACTACGTTATCTTTTATCAAGCTACAACTATTGCTACTAAAGTTGGTAGCGGCAGTGTGCTTTAAAGCCAAATATTCATCGACCGAACCCATTGGATGTTTTTCGATAATTTTATTGTTAGTTGCTTCTACTACAGGTGGTGACGAAGGAAGATTTTTATTCGGAGATGTATTAAGCTTGGAAAGTCTTTGACGTTCTCTTAATCGTTTACGAATTTCCGACTGAATCTTCGATTCTTTTATTACATTTTGTACATCGTCCGTTTGATAATAACGACTCGCCCAAGTTTCAGTTCCATTTGACTTTTGTGCCGAATTTGATTCCGTTTGTGATTTACATTCTTTACTTTCCGCAGTTTTATTATTTTTATCATTCTCGCTATTTTCTATATCATCCATATCGTCGCAATAATCATCTAAATCAATTATTTCATCCAAGTCAATGGATTTTTCTTCGTCTAAACCTACTTTATCTGAAATATTTAATGCTTCGATTGACTCTTGTTCAGTTGATAATGAATTATTATTTATCATTTTTGATGTAACATTATTTTCGTGCTCTTTTTCCTCTAATTTCGTATCCAAACAATCGTCACTTTTTGTACCCTTAATATTTTGAGCACTACCTGATTTTATATCGTGTGTATCGACTTCGGAAGTTACATTTTTCGATTGTTCTTTTACATGCGACTTTTTCTTTGTTTTTCGTTTTTTACTGTTAGATTTTGATTGATTATCCTGATAAGGTACATTATTACTATGATTACGTTTAAAAGCTTCAGTTTTATGTGCACTATCTATTTCTTTACGTGTTTCTATCGAGCTTTTGGTTGATTTATTTTCCTTTAAATTTTCTACGCTACTTACACTACGAACAGTATTTATATCGCTATTCTCAATATGATTAATATTGTCTTTGACTTCTATAACTCGTTCGTTCTGTAATTTTTTATTTACACGCACACCACTATGAGGTTCTCCTTCACTATCACTCGACAGTAGCTCAATAGTTGGAGTTGGTTGAACGACTAATACTACATCCTCATCTTCAGCAGTACTGTTCTGCTGAGCACTAATAATTCTTTCCAACTGTCTTCTACAATTTTCTTTTTCTTTTATTTCATCTTGTTCAGTCTTAGCTACAACATTTTCATTTGAGATATCATTACTTGTCGCAGATTTTAAAGTATTTGGTATTATATCTTCCTCTTTTCTTATTAAAGCTCTTATTGCTCTTGCACGCATTTCTAACTCTAATAAGTCCAATAAACTATCACCTTCCTTTTCTTTACTTTTATCTGTATCATTCTCCTTTTTCACTTGTATGTTTTTACAAGCAGTATCAGAAACTTTCTTAGAAATGGATTTACTATCATTCTTTTTATTAAGTTGAGATTTTCCTTTTTGCTTGATCCTTTCTTTCTTTATTTTTCCTTTAAGTACTTTTGAACCTTCTTCCTTTTTAGACATATCATCATCAGTAAACCATTCCTCTGTATCTGAGATAATTTCCAAAGAGGGTCCTATTGTCACGAAAATAATTTATATACGACATATAGTAAAACCTAACGTATTTCACTGAAAACATACCTGAATCATCTGATTCACTTGTATCTGATGATTCTAACATAGGTTTTCCATTTAAAATACATAATATACGGCTCTTTGACATGCCACTTAATTCATTAGCACACCACTTTTCTAATTGTACAAGATCCATTTTCTACAAGAAATAATTGTGTAAACTATATATACATAAGTAAAATATAACCTATTTGACGCATCCTAAACTAGGCATACCTTTAAAGTCTGAGGTAACATCATTTGTATCTTTTCAGCTTTAACAGATTTAAAAAGTTGACGAGCCAATTCCCTACGATCTGACAAATATTCCTTAATTGGTTTTAAGTCCCTAGCATCTACTTCTTCATCAGATGATAGTGAAGAAGAGGTACCTGATGAACTACTACCTTCCTAAAATTTTACATTATATTTGTAATAAATTATATTAATGTCTATTCACAAGAACTAACAAACAACACTGAAATAACAAGGGCAAAGTATAGAGAAGAGAAGTCAATTACCTCACTACTGTATGCACTTTTCTTTCCTTTTGACATATTGGATATACAAAGTATATTCAATAACTCGTATAAATGACACTCAATTGTAACGAATTCTTATTATGTGTTACAAACATTGCCTGCATTCTACATTTTTGAAGCACATATTTAGGAATATAAACATGAAGTAAAGAAAATATAGACGTATTATCTTATGAGATTTCGTGACCCATGTTCTTCGGGAAGAACTATGCAAGAAATCAAATTCCTATGACGGACGTCGTAATTCTAACCTCAATCAGAAATGAGTCGTTTGTATCCCAATCTATACTACATTGGATTAAAAGTATGGTTAGAGATCTCGGAAATCCTACCACAGACTATGAAAATGTATTCGATGTGAAATCTATGTTGCGAGTTGTTTACGGTAAAACAGCTACCTGCTACTCGTGTCAGAAAATAACCTATTTTATTGTTGACAATTATTTGTCAACAAGATGATAGGAACTAAACGAAATACAGATTTATGAATAGTTGGAAGCATATAAAATTATTTTATTTTTAAACATAGTACTGCTGGGTTTATAAGAATATTATTTCTTGTGCGGAATTAATTTTGTGACAAGTAATTGACAGATGACACATAACCCAGTCAGTAATTAAAATTTGTACTTCCTACTTGCTAATGCTGTACATAAATGTGAATTTATGTTTTTTGATAAAGACTAAAACAATTAATTATTATCACTAAAAGTGATATCTATCTCAAGATATGTGTTATGATAAAGTTTATTGAATTTATTTTATATTATATTTCTAATTTCTGTATTCACGAATAATAATAACAAAAAAAGAAAAAAAGATGCTGAACAGAGTTAAATCAGTATTGATGAATGCGATGGGTGGGAGTGAACTTGGCCTACAATACCCTACTGATTCTGATAATGAAACAGTAACAGATTATCTTAATTCAAACATTACTGCAGAAGTCGAAAATAAACCGTATAGTAGACCTAGTTTTCTAGGATTAACTACAGAAGAAACTCAAGTGAGTATCTGAAAGATTATAAATACTATAAGTAATGGAGCTTTAACATTTTGTAATCAATAGGTAAGTGCTGATCATAGGGTAAGACCAATTATAGTTCCAAGAGATTTAAGTCGGTTACCATGGTGTGCTGGTTATGCGGAATGTATAAATGCTGGAAAAAGTACATGGAATGAAGATCAAACTTCTGCAACCAGAGGAGATCTTAAATTATCAGATGTTAATGTTACATTGCCTTATGTCATATTTTCTATGTTTGATGGACACGCTGGTTATCAAGTGGCTTTAACAGCAAGATTACACTTACATAGGATAATCTTGGTAAAATAGAAATTTGTCCAACATTCCAACACAAAATTTTTTTTTCAATTATGCTTTTATTATGTATATCCTAGTTCTAAATTTTATGTTTTCAAATATATATTGTTTTTCTAGGGAAGATTAATGGCAATACCTGGCAATATGTTGCTAAATGAAGATGAAGATGAGCTTATAAAAGGAAGAGATTTAGTAATTGGTGCTATTGAATTAGCATATAGACAAATGGATCAAATGGTAGAAACACAAGCTCAAGGAGGGGGAGGTGGTTGTACAGCAATTACCATTCTATTCCTCAATGGTAGATTATATGCTGCAGGTGCTGGTGATTCAAGGTAAAAATATGAACAGTTAAATTTCTGATGTAGGTAATGAAAGTTGAAACAATTAATATCGAATGTATATTTGTATAATATACAGAGCTGTATTAGTTTTGGGAGAGAGTCAGCGTGCATTAACAAGAGATCATACTCCTGATTCAGAATCAAATCGTGTCAGAGCATTAGGATTTTTAAGAAGTACTGAGTTATTGAAAGGTCATTTTACACCACTAGAATTTAGAAAACGACCTTTGCAAAAAGAATTAGGGTCTTTGGTTTTGTATAGAGAACCTTACATGACTGGTTGGGCATATAAAGTATTAACACTGTCCGATTTAAAGCTACCTCTCATCTCTGGACATGGCAAAAGGGTAAATATTCTCAATATCAGAAAAAGATTGTGATATAGTTAAAAAAAGAAAAAAAAAATTGACATATTTTTCTTATACAGAGTCGCGTAATGGGTACTATAGGAGTAACACGTGGTTTTGGAGATCATGGCTTAAAAGCAGCTAGTACAGGAGTACATATAAAACCATTCCTATCATCGCAACCCGAAGTGCAATCTATAAATTTAGATAGTTGTAATCTCACAGAACGTGATTGCATTATTGTAGCCACAGATGGACTTTGGGATGTTGTGTCAGATAAAGCAGCAGCGAATATACTTAGAAAGACACTAGCTCCTGATAATCCATCATTAGAATACAGGTATTATTTCTTTTCTCTTTTTCTTTCTCTTTTATCGAAATTAAAGAATTTATCCTAAAGTAAAAGTTATAAAATTTTACAGACTGACAATGGGCGCTCAAGAATTGGTACAAGCAGCACGCGGTAGATTAGTTGGACGAGCGTGGGTTGGTAAATCAGAAAATCTTGAAGAAACGGATGAAAAATTTTCACCTATGGCATCGGTTGATGATATCAGTGTCTTAGTGGTACCATTATATCCTTACTTGTGCGAACATAAACAGTGGTTGAAAACAACACAACAAGAAAGAAGATATTCCATGGATTCGTTACACATATCAGTTAATAATTCTGTATAATAAATGATCAGAGCTGTAGGTATTGATTACTTTGTGTTTCAGTAAGAATGTTGCAGTTGAGATCAAGTGTATATTCACAGACTAGTATCATGATTAATCACCAAAATACCGTTGCTTTTACATTGCTTTTAACAGATATATATATATATATATATATATATATATATATATATATATATATATATATATATATATATTGAATTTTTAAACTACTAAACATTTCTCTCTTTTTTTTTTTTGAAAGTGATAATTTATTGTATACTGCCACGTTTTAAAAGTGTAATTTAAAAAATGCCATGATTATTTAACAGAACATTCCAAATGTAGAGTGTTGAATATAATGTAAGTAACTTAATTTTAAATAGCATACAGCATACAAAGTAGAAATAAAGTCTATAATTTTTAAATTGTATGCATCTATTGTAAGGAAAATGAAGTAGACAAAATTTGTACGAAGATAATCTTATCATAAGCATATTTTCCTCTGAGTGATTTTACTTATCCGTTTTATATTTATTTTCATTGTCATTTTAAGTGATTAAATTGAAATATGTATAAATTGTAGAATTAAGTGATTGATCCTAATATGATAAAGAAAATAAAACAAATTCAGATATATTTTATCTCACCTTTGTATAACCTGTATTAATTCTGATGTAATCAATGTAATTTAGTAATTAAATAAACGTTACATTGCATTTATTTAAATGAGTTTGAAATTATCTTAAATTGTTAGTTTTCTTTAATTTCATGAGCGTACTTTATTTCTACTTTAAACTATATTTGAAATGTGTGTGATTGATTCAACACTGTGGTTTGTTATTCAATAAAATAAAGAAAATTGCAAATGAAATTGACTTACATTGCGATTTCCATTCCGACGAACGATCATCGATACTTATTTCAGTATTCCACACTTATTTCACTATACACTTAGAGTATTGTACTATTCAGTCATTATGCACTATATTGTTTACAAGATTATTCGATCACATAAGCTATTTGAGACACTTTTTAATACAAATTTATGTTAAACAAAGCCCGACTTTTTTCCTCGCGAACGCGACGCGTTTAACATGAATCACGTGACCTGAATTTTTCAAACTTCCCAACGAATTATCTACTACGCATGCGCACCATATTTAAATTAGACATACAGTGTTCTTCATATTCATGTATTAATAGCTTAAAAATTTTAATATTTCATAATAAATCACTTATGAATTTTTATATTTTAAAATATATTAAATATGTGGATTACATGTATAGAAAATATAAAAATAAAATAAAGTAAAAATATACACACAGAAATATATAATTCAAAAAATATATTACCCAATTATCGACATGTAATTTTACGTTGATATAATTTAAAAAATTAAAAAAATATTTGTTAAATTTACAAAATACAATATTTAATATAGTATAATATTTTTGTAGGCTTTCATAAATGTTTAATATATTATATAAATGTTGAATTAAATGTAAAATTAAATAAAATAAAATTCAATTAAAAATTAATGTTGATTTCGAATGCAAAACAATTATAATTTAAATGAACGTTATATTTTTTCGCACAATTGCAGTATGTATGGATAAACTAGAAGTATGGACATCTGTAGTCGAGGAAAAGCTCGCACGTAAACCCTTTAGGCACTTAAAGGGGAAAGTGCATTTTCACGTCGTTGGGATAGCACAGTGTTCCAAACAGTCAACTTTCATAAATTTAATTATGATGCATAATCAAAATAGAAAGCAGCATTCTGCTTTTATCGAATAAAATTGTCAATTATTTAAGATTACTACAAACGCTGTCTCCATGGAACATCTTCTACAATTTACGTGAAAGCTTATTAATCTTAATATCCTGTTATTCCAGTCATAATTTTAAAGATTATCGAATACGATTTTGTCTAACGTGTGAATCGCATCTTCCTAACGGCTGACTCCACGGAAAGATAACGTCTGGAAAATTTCTACGAAATGATCGGCAATAAAGGTGCAGATGAATTTTAATGCGTCATCAATGTCGTTCTAGACTAAGAGCGACAGCATAAAAGGGCAGAAAGATAAAAAGCGTCGTGAATCACCGTAGGAAAGTGCTCTCTGCTCTACGCGGAAATACGCGGGCTGCCTGTGAAAACTAAAGCTACTCTGACAGTTCCCCGTTGACCCTAGCGTCGTTCGGTTTTAAAAAGTTACTGCGGCTTCACTTGACAGTTTTCCGAACGCTTCTTTGCCACAAACCATCAAAATTTCCATCTCTTTCCATCTTTCTAAAAATATAATTTCAACGTAATTTAATTAATGATTTATATAGTTAAAAGCTATATTATATTCCACGTAATACATCACTTTATTTTCTTAAAATATCATTTAGAAAATATATCGAGGGGAAGAGACTGAAAAAACTCTCTGATTCGTTAGAAATATATTCTATCACTTATAAATCTTATATTAGACGAAATATAAAATAAACTCAGCTCCTAGTTTATCGAAGAAAAATTGATGGCGTTTTACAATTTCGCGGACATAATTCATGTCCATTTTTGGATCGAAAAACCGGTATGCGTTACTTTTTTAGCAAACGTCAGAACACAGATATGTTTTTCTCGCTGGCGAGTTATGACAGGCTATCTGTCACGGTCATCATCGATGGTAACTTCAAGGATACCAAGGGACGTAATGTTTCTCCCGGGTAAGGGTGGCGAAAGAAAGGATAAAAGAAAGAAAGAGCGAAAGAAACGGTAACTTACGGTATATCGGAATGGCCGCAAGTTAGGGGTCTCGTACAGCCTCGATACATCATCGTTAGAGAACTTTGGACGGCTTCCTGGTTACACCATTGATGGCTTCCTTCGATAGGACATGATGTATCTGCCTTTCATTGCTGCAACGTGGAACTAGAAGCCGGTTGTAATTTAAAAGTGAAAACACGAAATAAAAGATGGCATATTGTTAAACGATCGTGTTCGTATATCAGTCGCATATGAATCATATCGTCTTGTGACACACTGTTTCCAAATCGAGTTGATGAATAAATTTTAGAGATGCCTAGCTAAGATAACACGTCCTGATCGAAAAAGTGATAATGTTCTCTTTGATCGAGAGACTAATTTAATTTATGTACTAGTCTCATGAGTATGGAGTTTAAACAAAGACATTTATACATCGAAAAGTATAATACAACGATAGCCGCTTGTTCAGTAATTTGTCTCGCACATTTCTCAGGACTCAAAGTCAACTTCGCCTCGTTAGTTTCTCAGGTGACTCGTGCCTGTAGTCAACTCTCTTAGCGTCTCCGAACCTAATGTCCCTTGGCTGGAAACTAACGCCTAGTTGCCGAACGTGATGCAACGGATAATGCGACAAGTTTGCCGTCAAGGGATTATGTGACCAGTTCTCTGTTTGAGTCTGTTAGTACCTTCACGGTATCCATATTTCAGCGACGTGGCGCGTTATTCATCTTTTATGTTTAGTTGAGAAAGTTTAAGCTTGTGACTAAGCGTAGTTTATTTAAAAAAATATCAACCACGTAATGATATAAGAGAGATATATATTTTTATGAAATATAACTCCGATTTTATCTCATGTAATCGCTTTTTTACATGCCGAATTGTCTGCAAACGAACCCGAAAAGTACGAGTGGTTTTTCGACTACCAGAAACAGTCGAGGTTTTAAGATAATGACAATAGAAAAAATACGAAGAAAGTATAGAACTTGATCGACTAGCGTAAAACAGCGTAAAAGACGAACGAGGAAGAAGAAAAGTAAAAAAACGAGCATCCGTTCGCCAATCTTTCCTTTCTTCCTTCCTGTCTCGCTTGGTTCATAAATTTTTTGTAACCATTAACTATTTTTCCCCTTTGGAGATAATGGTCCGTTATAACGTCTGCAGATTATAGTACGAACGAGGATTTTCTAAAAAATTTGTATCCCCAGGAATTGGAAAGGTAGAACGATTACCCGCATGTCGACCCACATGCATACACCTATACCAATCGGAAACAGACAGATTGAACTAAATTAAGTTTTTTTCCGCGACACATTCGCCTCTTACACGATGCCGCGGAAATGGGCTTCCATCGTCTCTTTGAAAACTATTCTCATGTTCTGTCATAAACCAAGTGGAAAGGAATGTTCGCGACAAGCGAACAAATTAGTGCGACGATGAAATTCCTGTGAAATACCGAAAGAAAGAACTATGATTTCATGCATGCAAGATGTTTGTTCATGCAACTTGATGGATCGCTTTTTAACTGAGAAAATAATTCACAGTTTGTCTCTCGCGCTACGTGGGGCGAATTTTTATAGCACGAAATGAAATGTTTGAAATCTTTCCTTCTCGTTTCTTTGCCTTGTTACATCGTAAGTTACGTGATATATACTTTGCAGTCATTAAACGGTTATAGAATTATGTTTTATTCTCTGATAATCCGTTGTTAATAAAATATATTCTAAAAAGTCGTAACTTTCCATAGGGTAACGCATTTTTTATGAAGAAGGAAGGATCCATCGTACACGAGCGTGCTTTCTGAGGGGTGGCGTCGCGCCGGTTCGCGCGGAAACGACGGAAACGGTTATCCAATATCAAATTAGCGTACGTCAGGACAAGTTCTTCCATGGCATATGCTCCGTGCTTGGCACGCCAATAACTCCATTTACGCTGACATAACTTCTAATCGTATAATCTGCCGGACAGTCTGCCTGAAGCCAGCGATGCCTGTTATTTACCGATCGAAGAATTAGGAAGAATTATATACCGACATCGGCCGCTTAGCTACGAGCGATCCAAATCTAATTTCTCTTAACATTGAATGATTCGAATTGGATAATTCGTTGAACTCCGTGTTTCTAGCGGAATGTTCCTTCGTTCGATTAATTTCTACTCGCGGAGGTAGATAAACATTTCTTGGATTACGAAACGTTTCAAGATAAGGTTAAATGATTCATAGAAAAGTTTCTTCGAGGTAAAAGCTTCTTTATCGAATAACAGATTATAATGTGTAACGTACTCGAACGTGATCAACGTCGAAAGCGAAAATAATCAGTCGAATGTCAATCGATTTTCCGACGAATCGTCGTTTCACGAGATGCAATAACATTTCTGTAGATTGTTCGCATGACTAAGTCGAGGCTCCGTTGCCGAGTAGCAAATGGATAGGTGTTACCTAAGCTAGTTACGGATCCTTCGATAAACACAGACGGACAAACGTTTCCTAATTGTGCTGGCAATTGTTTACGCTACCTCGCAGCACCTTCCGGTCTTCCTGCGTTCATGGCTATTCCGTGTTTGTCTCTCCGCTTCTTGCTCGTCTCTGTCATGTCTTCCGGAAGAGTGGACGACGAAAATTTCGTAGGAGGATCAACGACGGCGGATCTTAATTAAGTCGTTGGCGTCTAGCTTCCCTCGCAGAAGAAATCTTTTTCTTTTATTATTCACGTGTTTTTTCTTCGAAAGAAAAGAAAGAACGAAAAAGTTCTGTTTGCCGTCTTAATTCACTATCGTCGAGAGCGATGTACGAACGAATCTTTCGTTACGCGCCTTTCAGCTAATTTTTAAAATACTCAATTTGAAAATCTTGAAAAAATTTTCAAGACAGTTCGACAATTGAAAGGCAACGATATTCGGTCTGTTTTTCGTTTTCCTGATTCTTCTCTTATCCACTTATCAATTTTGCCAACGTTCAAGTATCGTCGTCGCAACGATACATCGATCTACTGCGATTTTACTACTGGCTGTCTATTTTAATGATGCCTAAAAGTGGCGATGCATAAATGCAATGTTCGGGACGACTGGCACGATGAACGAGCGACGGGTAAGTCGCAACAGATCGAGGCCGGCGCTTCTCCAGGAAAAAAAAATATCGGTCGTTTAACACCCCTTGCCGGCTGTGCCCCCATGAGGCCGATACCAGACGAATTATTGCACCGCGCCAATCTACGAGGATTACCCGCGCAGGGAAAGGGCGGTCGGGATGTCGTTCGACGACTTTACGGCCGCACACGTCGTTCTTCTGAAAGCGCATCGACGTCGTTGCAGCTGGAGCTTTCTGAGGATTAGCCGAGAACTTGCGGTCGTTCGTGTGCGGTCGCACCAGCCCTATCGAGAATTTCGTTGCCGTGAGATTTTCACGGACCATCGTAATTCCTGTTTTTATCGCTATCATCGTGCCAAACTCAAGATAGAATATCTCGATCGAAAATAGAAAGATAATCGTGGATTAACGAAAATCTTATCGAGTCCCGAATTCGACGAATTTCGATTCATCGAATTTTCACATTCGCGACACGTGTCGATTTATCTTGCAATTAAAACTATATTGATTATTACAAAGAGGAGGATAGCGGTAGCCAAGAACTATAGATAGACTGTTACGGTAGAACGTAATAATACAGGCGAATCGATTGAATGTTTAGAATGTTGGGATTGCGGTTGTCGGGAGTAACTATTTAACCTTATCGTATTGCGACGAATGCAAATTACGTGTACAAATGTACGCGGCCGCCGCATGCAACTCTGTAGGGATGATCGGAACACCATAAACCAAAACTATCATGGCTCAATGCAGCTGAGTTTCTCTTCATAATGTATGATCAACGAATAACGGATTCATGATACATCATTTCCATTCGAAATAAACATACAGCCGATCGATTACGTTTGTTTAATTACCGACGTAACAATGACTTCCCACAGAAACATCGAATTCTGCATTTCGTAGTGAACGATGTCGAGGAAATATTGCTTGATTTCTTTTCTTTTTTTTTTTTTATCGTGTTTCTCGTACAACGCGGTATTACTCTCAAGTAAGATCAAAATAATTTTCGACACGATGTTGCACAGAGAAACGACATTTTCTTTGAACGAAGAAGAAGAAGAAGAATTCACTTTCGTTCATCTGCTTTCTGCATTGAACATCTGGTCTGCTCTTCAAATATTGCGCATGAACGTCGAAACAGATGTCGGCATTTGAATAATCGATAAAGATAAACGTATTCGTCGATTATTCGCGCAGACGCATCCGTCTGAAGGCCAATATAATATGTTAATTCCCGAAAAGATGCGAACGAATAATGGAGGAAACTAGTAAGCTGTCAGTCTGGCTGTGATAGGGGCGGTCAGAAGACTACAAAACTGCGATGGAACTTTTCTGTTCGTCTAATTGTCCCAACGGGTGACCTCAACGCTTATTATCCCCTTTATCCCCTTTATCCTTTACCCTCACACTCCCGCGATTCGTCCATTCTCCTCTTCGCAAAGCGATTTATAATTAACGTTGTCCCAACGAAAATCCCCGCTGTTTCGCATTATCGATCCGATGAACCGTGTTCCAGTTCACCCTTCTTATCATAATCCAATTAAATTTCACCGTAACGTATTAATTATTCGACGATATGCGATCCGTTATGCCGTGGATGTTTGATCGCAGCGATACACGCGATGTCGAACGTTCTCAAATGACCGGCGGAAAAGTCGTGATTCAATCGGTCTGCGTTCACAGGCAGACGATTTGAGTGGCTAGGAAAGCGGATTCACCCCCTTGGATCAACATTACCGGGGAGCTCGTTAAGACGGTTGAAATCGATCCTTGCCTCGGATTTCCGAAGTACACAACCAATTAATTAATGCTAAAAGCATCTTGCCGATATGCTAGACTTCGAGGGCCGTTTTCTGTCCAGCATGCTACGTTCGAACAGCACCGAACTCGACGATTGATGAAACGCGCAATGAAAAATGTGGCCACACGCGTGCCTTCGTTTTCAGATCGGAAAGTGAAGTTCTTTCTTACCTGCGTGTTTTTATTTGCGAGCGTACGCGTGTAGAAATCGTACGTACGCGTTTGAAAGCTTGAAATTTCCATGTTGGCAGTCTTGTGAAATATGCACACTTGTATGTACTTGGAAACTTCGAGTCGAGGTCGGTTGATCTAACGCGCAAGATCTAATTGCAACTATAATGTCACCTCAAGGGAAATGATAGTGAATGAACTAAAGTGACAAAATAGCTATTGTTTTTTTTTTTTTATAGAGTCTTAATTACAGACATAGAGCTCTATATAAAAATTATTGCGATTTATCATCTCGATTTTTCAATTTTTTTTTTTCTTTTTTATCGCGACTCGTGAAAAGAATTCGAAAAAATGAACAATTTTATTTCATTTTTTCACGGAGAACTTAAGCAACATCCTGTCAGTGATATAATTTTCATCTGCGAATACATTTCGTAGCTATTATCACCGATATTCTGTCATCGTGTATCCAGCAATTGACTTAATGATCCGAGTGAATCTACTCTCGATGCAGGACCTAAGTGCATACACGAGGTAACATATTGGATGCTCACACGGTTAACAAGCATCTGAGCAAACAACCTACAACGGCCTTGACAAAGCGGCACCAGCGCTCGCAGTCAGTAGGGTTGCTAATGTAGGGCGCCAACTACGAAATTCCGCGGTCTGTCGTCGTGTGTAACGAAACAACGGAAAATCAGGCAGACGAATGATTAAAATCCTATCAGCTGAGCACACAACGCATCAACACGAGTGTAAATATTTGTTCGTGGACGTATATAATTCTCCGTATTGTGTGTTTAAAACACACATAAGTGACAGCATCATTAAAACGCGTATAAACAGGCTTTTAATGATACAGTCTATTTTCAGCGTGTTAAATCAAGTTACGCTCGACATAGTTGGTCACCTGAATTATTTTTATTTTATTTCAAGCGCACGTAAGTTAAACCATTCGATAATACGTTATGTGGATGCTTTCAAAGGCCTGATGCCGTGAGTTTACGAACGTAACCCATCGAAGGTGCATAGAATTGGAGGGCGTGTGCGTACACGTGAACAGAATACACACGGCAGGATGCAGCATTAGATAGAGTTGGGTTGTTCATGAATTATAGAGATCGCCGTCTATTACGAGATTGAGGCCAAACACCTTACACATGGTAGTCTATCGTTGATAATGATGATTATCGCCTGTATTTGAAAAGGTATCGATGTATGGATCAATCTAATAAATATTGTACGTCGAATTTCCAAGAAGAGAACAAATATTAAGCGATAAAAAAGAATGTTTACGCATGATACGCGGAACATTTAGTTCTATTCGCGGATGTTAATATTTGCAAGTTAACGTGAAAATATGAAATTAACTGGGAAATGTCATCGTAATCGTGGAAAGTGCTCGATGCTTTATGATACGTAACTGGAAATGTCTAAACTGAACGATTTATTTACTCTTAATACTTATAGTGTTTAATTCTGAGAAAGCAACTTAGCTATCAAAAGTGATAATCAGTTGATAACTATCGGACATGACACAAACATCATCTATAACTACACGTTCCTAGAATAAATTTTTCCAGAAAGAGCAAATGCGCTCTTACAATCACACCGTGATAAGTCAGATAACTGATAAGCTGATATTGGCACAGATATTTAAGCAGCCGGTTGCCGTCGACACTTAGTCTGCAGAAAGCAATACAATCGAGATCATTCGTACGAGTCTTTTACAAACTTGTCAGACATGGTAGTGGGAAAAGTGATCGTTTTCTTGGCAATAGTGGCCGTGGCTGCCATCTTCACGGAAGTCAACTCGGTTCCTCAAGTTGGTTTGTATGCCGCCAACAATTCAAACAAGTCGCACAACCTAATCGTTGGCTACAGAATGCCTGGTGACAGACTTGTACTCAGAAGCAGAGTCGTTAAGAATTCTGCCTGGCTGCAGATAGTCACCGAACAAAAAACCTTCAACGCGTCGAGGTGGGATAGGATCACCTTAATCCAGGCACTTGACCAAAAGACCAATGGTAACGGTGCTTACGCCAGCATTCTCAATGGCGGCCCAGGACACCAGAACGTTACTCTTCGGTTCAAGAGCCAGAGGAGTCACGGAATCGACTTTATCGTCGAGCTGTATGCACGACCGTGAGCTGATACAACTAGAACGAACACTGGACACATTTGGATGCATTTCTTAAGCCGATTTCGTAAATCGAAGTTTACTCGCCTTTGTAAAACGAATGTCCTATGATATTCGAATAATTCATTCGCTCGGTTTCGAACTTGTAAATACCTCTGTTATCAAATAAAGCATAATAAAGTTTGTTAATCGAAGCCAGACTATTTGCTAGTTTTTATATAAATAGACAAAACTCAAGAACGCGAGGCGTGCAAGAAAGATCGAGAAACGGGAGAAAAAGAAAAGTTATTCAGGACTGGTGTCGATAATAACGCAATTAACGCTGAAGCGAAACGGACTGGACTGTCCGTCGAAAAACAGATTGCCAGGAATTCACTGATGGAATGTCTTTCTTGTATGCCTTAATCAAGCGGACCCCGCTTCGAACGATGGCTCCGTGATAATTTCTTCCTTTTCGTTCCTTCCTTCCTTTCTTCCTTCCACTTCCCTGCCGACGCTGGCGGAGAACCCTGGCGTGGCTCGCAGACGTTTCTAAGAGGCAGAGATCTTCCGTTTCCGAGGCTTACGTGTAAAGTACATTTTGTGCATGCATGCGTAGCGGCACGAAGGCGGAGGAACAACCGACTGGAAAATTGTTGTCGCTTCGTGGCGATCCTCCTACGAGAACGAAGGAGAAACTTCGAATCGAGTTGAGGGCCACTGAAATTGGTGGCGGTATCTCAAGCTTGCGAACGACCATTTCGTTAACCTACTTATTCTATCTCTGTTCCACCCACGCAACGGTGAGTCGGATAGAAGAGAGTGCCTAGTTTGTCTGCAGTTTCAACCTTCGCAAAACGTGCCCTGCCTCCATCAGGGAAATGCAGCTTTCTTTCTTATGGATTGTTCTTTAATGACGACGGACACTGAGAGGTCAGTAGACGTCTGTTTCGTAAATAGGAACAAACTGGCGCATCGCTTGAAATATCAGCGAAATGGAATTCCACTTTAAAGTTGTCTGAGTAATAGGGTAGAACGCGGTCCGTTGCCAAGAACGAGACGCGAGAGTGTAGTTCGTTGTTTTCATAACTTATTCTAAGTAATTTGTTACTTTTTCCCCGGGTTATTGTTCGTATTTTCAATGCAACAGTAGAATGTTCCCCTTAGAATTCTATTTCGGATACGCGGCGCGCATGTCCCGACAAACAAGTCAAGGTATAACTGCCTTTATAATATTTATTCAGTGCCATTCAACGCCATACAGGAAACAAGTGGATAATTTGCGGATACGGCAACCGTTGCCGTTAGATTCTTTCAAAACATAGACAAGCAACGATCGATAACTTGCGATTTATTTATAGCAATCAGAAATCTAGCAAGAAGCTAGCCTAAGGTGAGCGGTATAGAAACAGTCACACCATGGATACAGAAAAAAATCACGGCATATGTTTCTGACGATAAAAACGTCGACCATTATTTTCACGACGGTCGACTAAAAATAATCTTCGCGTAAGGAACTGTAGAGTTTCTTTCTTTGACACTTGATTCCATGTCCATGTGTATTTACGTACATATGTACGTTTGCATAGGTGTACACCGTGGACTATAGAGTTCTATTCTCCGGATACTTTTTATACGAACATCGATCGCTGTTTAATTGATAGGTGGGAAAACTCGCTGTTTCACTCAGGTACGATATCACGTGTATCGCATTGGCTGGAGGTCATTATACCTTTTTGCTATTATCTTGATAGATTTAAACCATAATTCGACGATTGAAACTACGACGCAAGCTACGGCTTGTCCTTCGACTTAAGTAAAGTGGCTTTTCTGCTGTGCAATCAGTTCTGATAAGAAGAAGACCTGCGGCTCGTAAAATACGCACGCGTCATGAACATCCGACCACAGCTGTCAGTCGAGCGTAATGCGAAAGTGTAAGGACCACCGCGCCTAGTCATAAACCTGTCCAGCGCGCTTTCCGTTATTGCGCTTTCGCGCTTTGTAAAATTGTGAAACTGACGAACGAACGTTGTGTTATACGGAACCACGTTGGACAGACAATCCGATGACAGGATTGAACGAATGAAAGCGTGTTTGCACGACCGTGCACCCTGCTGCACCTACAAAAGAACCGACCATCAATCCGAAACCGCAACGACCATTATCGGGCAATTTTAAATGAAAAGCTGTAGATACGGTTCCAGTATTTTAGATTGGAAGCTAAGCAGCGCCACGCGTTGCTTCTATTGCTCGAAATCCGTATTCGAAGCATTCGCCGGTGCATCGCTGTGTCGCGATTATTACATTATTTACTATAAATCTTTCCCAAAACACGTACGCGCCATGACGCGACTTCCATGTTTGATAATGGGTATCACAAAATTGTCATTTAATTATGCTGTATTAGACGCTCTGAATAACCATTTATGGGAAATTTGAACAATTAGTTTGCTCGATTTGATACTGGGATACGTTATTAGTAAACACCATACATTACAGATTTCACATACTTTTGCAATGTGTATAAGTAAATAAATAAATAAATAAATAAATTAAATAAATAAATAAATAAATAAAATAAATAAATAAATAAATAAATAAGGAAAGAGAGAAACGTTCGTTTGGAGAAAAATAATGAACAGGTTCTTGGTAGACATTGATAGTTTAGGTTAAGAACTCAATAACTGTGTTTTATTGCAGTAGAATGCTAAAATAGCAATTTTTTTTAAACTCGAATAAGCTGATGAAAAATGAAGCGGATTCGATTTAAAATCGTTTCTTATTTTTTATTCGCAATATAGATACTGAAACATCATAAAAGAAAAGAGGAGTGTCGTAAACGTTCGGCATACATATGTATGTATGTAATATCATCGATGTAATGCAAGTCAGTCACGAGTTATAGACATTACGCAGCAAGCCTCCAATGAAATGGTTTAATGGATTGGCCAACTGACTTGCATTTTCTGTTTGATGCTCGGTGCAAGCCTACTGTAAAAGCTGATGAAGTTAAAGATTCATCCATGCGAGAACTGAGTGTACGCTTCTGACGAGTTGTGCACATCGATTTCGAAGTATCGCACAATAAAAGTTATTAAATAGGTACGTGACATTCTATAGTGCTCGTTCCGGCACTAACCGACCTGTTGGGATAGTGGACATCGTGACGTAACACTTGCACATTACGAAGTTAATTAATATTTGCACACGTTTTATGCAATTTCTTGATTATGATTTGCAGGATGGATCATTAAAGGGATTTGAGCCAAAGAACTTGGAATATTATTCCAATACGAATATTATTCCAATATCTCTATCATGGGTGTATTAAGTACAGCCGTATTTAGGACTACGTGTGTATTTGATATCAGCTGTAAGTCCTTTGAAATCAATTTCAGTTGCTGATTAGCCGCAAATGCAAGATCACAGTACGGCCACGACATAAGTCAACTGTATTACTCCATGCGGTCAGCTCGTTAACTGGTATGAACTGTAGATATTCTGACCAACTGATCTATGTTTATATGAATAACAAGGTTCACTAATATTCTTTGATCGATTTTCCTGCGAAGAAAATCACACGTGATAAGGTCTGTCACGATAAAAAAAGAGTCTTAATGAGGTATTAAAAACAGAAAGTAGCATTCAATGAGAACACATCAATAATACGTTTACGTAATAAACGTAATTGTAAAATGTGAGTTACAGTCTGTGTGAAAACAATTTGCATTTACAACATTCGAAATGGTTCTATATCTTATTAAAGATAATATATTTCATCGGAAAAAGCTTAAGTAGATTTGAATTTAAATTGTTGTCACTATTGGACGTTTATTCAGACTGCCTTAAATCAATTAATCTCTAGCGCTTTTATATACGCGGTGAATGTTCCGGCGTTTTTCAATTCGTTCGACAAAAAGAGAGGAAATAATTGCAATAAAAATAGAAACGGTTGGAAGAAGTAGTAGAATATATTCAAATTAAAATTCAGGAAAAACTGGGACAACCACTTTAAAAGCTCTATGCAATGCAGAACAAAAGTACCGCTCGAGTATGAAACTACCATCTCTGAAAAATCTTTTTATCTTACGCTACATTTGAATCTATATACACGTTTCTATAGACGACGTTTATCGTCAAAGTAACAGTAATGTATTGAATGAGTTCTACCTGTCCATATTTAATGACACCCGTTTGAAACGAAAAAGAAAGTTGAAAATACATTTGTTTTGGAAAAAGATATCACTTTTCAATACATTGACCGATATGTTTTTCATATATTTCAGTCACATTATATGTTTTATTCATATTTTTACAAAGTTAAGCAAAATAAGGTCTTTTAGAATTTTAACAGTGTTCATATTTTTAAAGCTTTCCAAATCGTTTTACGTAATAAATCATGGTTATAAATATCCCTTTTGTTACGATTCCAGCACGACGTTGCTGCCGAAGATAAATTATAACACGCCCCGAGAAAGTGGCATGACATATCGTGGGAGAGTTAGAAAAGGTAAAAAAACGTAAAATGATGAGTGTTAAGATAGGTAGGTGAACTACAGTGAAGGCAATCATCGTCAAGGGACACAGGAGTACACGTCAATAAATATTGACATTTACACGTATTTCGTACATTGATCTGAAGGAGGAGCTTGTCTGGAAGAAAGGAACGCTTGCACATTTATCTGATAAAGTTTTAGATACTTATACATTGTAATCTACACATTTTGCAAGCTTTGCTAATATTATGTCACAATGTCTGTACTATCCTTCCATTCAAAGATAATAGGAAATGATTTTTAGGAATATCCAAGTTTGATTACGATGATGCGGATACATAAAAAATACTGTTAAAAATCCCAGTTATAATCACAGCTGTTCTTTAGCGATAAGAACGAATGACGATAATATTAAAATTTCTTATCTTTGTCTTAATGCGCAAATATCTTATGTAATTTCGTTCACAAAAAAATTTCATGCAGAATGTTATAAATCACTTTATGAACGATCTATGTATTTATGTTGCAGGTTATGGTAAGTGAATTTTGAGAAGATCTATCTCAGGGTTGTCTCAGATATTTTTGCAAGGGCGCCGCCACTTCGACTGTCTCGTACAGGAAAATGTTTTTAGTCGCTTGAAAGGGGAGGATGAAGTAAATTGAGAGTGACGTACACGAACGTGTTTGCGTACGAGGAAAGCAAAGGGTCGGTTGGT